TTTTTGAAAAACGATCACTTAAGTGCTAAAATTTTTGAAAAACGAACATTTAAGTGCTAAATTTTTTGAAAAACGATCACTTAAGTGCCAATCTCCGGCGAGACTCCGGCGAGCCACGTCAGCTTCAGAAATTAATAAAAAAAATGCCACGTCAAATTTCCGGCGAAAAATTGTGTACGGCACCGGAGTTGGCACTTAAGTGATCGTTTTTAAAAAATTTAACACTTAAGTGATCGTTTTTCAAAAATTTTAACACTAAAGTGATCCAAAAAAAAGTTATGGCACTAAAGTGAGCGCCGTACACAAGTTATGGCACTTGTAGTGTTCTTTTTTCTCAAATAGTGAGTAGTTCTCACCTATTTCGCCCTTCTTAGGAAACTCATTCTCTAAGAATGTGACATCTCATGATTCAAATTCAGTTATACTACTACTTTCTTGCTCACCTATAAATACATATTCTTTTGAGGTTTCCGAATACCTTATGAAGATACTCTTCTTACCTCTAGGACCTAATTTCCCATACTTATGAGAAGATTCATGTGTATAAGCGGCACAGCCCCAAGGTTTCAGAAAACTCAAATCGGGTTTTCTACTTGTCCATAACTCATACGGAGTGGAAATAACTGATTTAGAAGGGACACGGTTAAGTATGTAGGCAGCAGTTAATAAAGCATCACCCCAAAAGGTGATAGGTAAGTTAGCCTGCGCCATCATGGACCTAACCATTTCTAGTAGGGTTCTGTTTCTCCTTTCCGCAACACCATTTTGTTGAGGAGTATAGGGAATAGACAACTGTCTTTCTATTCCCTTTTCATCACACAAATTTCTGAACTCATCATATAGATATTCTCGACCTCGATCGGATCTCAATGCTTTTATTTTCTTGTCTAATTGATTTTCCACCAAGTTCATAAATATCTTGAAGCAACTAAAAGCCTCAGATTTATGAGAAATCAAATAGACATATCCGAATCGAGTATAATCATCAATAAATGTGATAAAATAAACAGCCCCATGTCTAGCCCTCATATTCATTGGACCACAAATGTCAGAATGGATTAACTGCAAAGGAAATTCAGCTCTTGTTCCTTTTCCAAATGGTTTCCTGGTTGTTTTCCCAGCTAGGCAGTGTTCATAAGTGGGAAAATCGACTTTTTCAATATTGCCCATTAAGCCTTCTTTGGCTAATCTATTCATTCGTTGTTGGCCTATATGGCCAAGCCTAGCATGCCATACGTTCACATCATTATCACACGAAGTAGAAGATGTGAAGTGGGAATAACAAACATTGACATTTACAGAATCAACATCCAGTATAATAAAACCATCTAGAAAATAACCACAATCATAATAACTCGTACCTAAATACAAGTCTACACCATTGTTATGGAAGTTCAAATTAAAACTAAGTCGAATCAACACTAAAACAGACACTAAGTTCCGACGAATTTCTAGAGCATATAATACATCATGTAGGAACAAAGTGCGTCCACCACGCATAATTAACTGGCAGGTGCCAATTCCTTTAACCTCAGCTCTGGAGTTGTTCCCTACATAAATCCATTTAGTTCCCGTTGGAACTCGTCGGAATTCTACGAAGGCTTCTCTATCCTTCGCTACATGGTCTGTTGCTCCCGAATCTACAGTCCACAAAGGATTTGATTCAGTTAGAAATATAGAACTTGATACATAAACAAAGTTCTCAATAATACAAGATGAGTTAACCTTCTTTGGCTCACGACAATCACGAGCAAAGTGGCCTTTCTTGCTACAGTTGTAGCACTTCACTCTTGACATCTTTTTCTCATGAGGACGCTTTCCTCTTTGGTGTTGTTCATCTCTTGGTTTCTTCCCCGAAGAACTCGCTCTCTTACCTCTCCACCTTCTGAACGAATCAGGACGCTTGCGCTTAGAGCTCGAAGGCCCTTGTGAGCTAGAACCTACATGGTAAATGTCAATTACCGGCTTATCCGCCAGGAGGCGGTCCTCCTCTAGCTCTAAGTGGCGCACTGCATCTTCAAAGGTTTTGATGTTCTCATTATGAGTTAGGTGCAACTTCATATGCTCCCAACTTTGAGGCAAAGAACGAATCACTGCTTGCACTTGCTGCTCATTAGTCAGAACATGGCCAGCATCCTTCAGCTCATTAATCATGTTTGACATTTTCCTTAAATGTTGTTTCATGGACTGACCATGTGGCTTCTTATATGAGTCAAATCTTATAGTGAGCTGTCTAAGCTTGGTTACAGATGTATGACCAAACCTTGCTGCCAATGCTCCCCACATCTCCTTAGCATTTTCAAAACGCCTAAACTCTCGCATGACATCATTTTCCATGCTACTCAGCAACGTGATGCGAGCAAGGGAGTTCTTCCTTTTCCATACAGCAAATGCATCCTTATCTCTCTTATGTTGTGCAGTGTTTCCGTCTTCAGGCTCTACCATAACCAGGTTAAGAGCTTCAAGAGCCTCTTGCTCTTCCAGCACATATTGGATTTTCATATGCCAAATTTCATAATTATCACCGTTAAGCTTCTCTCCTTTGTTCAGTTCAGCAACTATATTCTTTGATGCTGAAGCCATGGTATCTGAACATTTCAGACATATACGCACGAATTATTAATGCCACTCATTTATGCATCAATTTTACACAAACTGATTATATTAATGAATAATTTCACATAGGCTTTAGATTCGAAAGTTCACTATGTTCCCAATCATCATAAAAAAACTAATGTGAAATTACCGTTAATGTAATCATTAAGGTAAAATTACGTTCTTTAAAGTTACTAAAACTTTTAGAACTCCCACTCAACTCCTTATGATACTAATAAGATAAATATTAAAACAGAATAGTACTATAAACTATTCACAACATGAATATCTATCAACATTCATTTACCTAACACTATGTACATAAGGAATGAATCCATCTAAGGAAATAAACATAAACACCAACATAAAAAGAACTATCCACCCAAGATATTTAACACCAACCTATAGTGAACATATCCATAAGAGCTTACGAAAAATAGATAAACACAATCAGGTGGTGATCTTCTTTCTATAAACCGGAAATGACTCATGAAAATCCTCAGGAAATTCTATTTTCTTTGGCATCCAAATGGAGGCACCCGGAAAACCCCTAGATTCGAGCAACGTATTGCGCCGAGACTGATTCAATGCAAGGGTTGACGTCCTCTTTGACCCGACCCGTATGTACTCTATCATGAATTGCTCCACATTCATCTTATAGCTCAGACCTTCTAAGGCGTCCCAAACCCTATCAATCATTCTTCCCAACTCATCAGGAATGGTGCATTTGAGGGCTCCGACCATCACATACCCTGGCATTACGAAACCGTTCCAAATGATATCTTGTATCATTTGATTGACCTTGATGATGTGTGTCATCATGTCATCATCAGCATCCCACCGATAAAGAGCCAGCTTGATTCTTAGTTTCTCAAGCTTCTTCTTTTGAGCCGCCGTTCTAGGGATAATAGGGGCTCGATATCTTCGTACCATTATTCCTGCAACAATGCAGAAAAAATGAAAGGATTACTCATAATCCAAGGTACAACATTTCAAGAAACACATTCTACCCCTTCTGTCCCTTTTTTTTTTTTTTTTTTTTTTTCGCCGGTCAACGGTGGTCAACGATGGTCAACGGTCAATGGATGACCGGGTCAGGTCAACGGGTCAGCAGGATAGGGTCACGGGTCATAAACCGGGTCGGATCGGGTCAGGCCTACTGGGCCGGGGCTTTTCGGCCCAGACGAAATAACGGGCGTGGCTGACGTCAGCGTGACGTCAGCCACGCCCACACGCGCACGCATGGCGCGTGCATCGCACGTGTGCGCGGCAACCGCTGCGCACGTGCCGGTGAAGCCGCCGCTTGCGGCGGCGGCGAGTAGAGGCGCGTCCGGCTTCCCCCGGCGGCGTGGCACCCGTCATTTTGCTCGTATCGACGAGCACTACGACCCTATGCCTTCAAAAATAAAATTTATCGCACCGAATTTCGAGAAACGATCCCGAACAGTCCGGTCGGGTGTCGATTTTCGTACCCGAGCGTTCGTCGGCGCCGTTTCACGAATTCCGGCCATCAATCCGTGTAATAAGCATATTAAACGATCAGGAAACAAGAACACATGCTCTGATACCAATGTCGGAAACAGATTCCTAAACATAATACAAAAATTGCGGAAAAACGTGCCCATTCTACGCTTGAATCACCGATTGTTCCAAGTATATTACGTGAAATAAACATACCTCTTTTACCACAGATTAAATGCACTTATCACAGCCTCGAGAGAGAGAACAATGCTTGAATTGTTGAACAAAGCCCCTTCTTCTTTGTCATTTAGTGAGAATGAGTTTTCTGATAATGAAAATGCAACCCACACACACATTCTTACGTGTGTTCTCACTTTTTGTTTCTAGACAATAACTGCTAAGTGCAGTTATTTTCTTTCATGGGCTGGGTTAGCCCATCATGGGCGACCCATCTTCACAAAGAAAATCCATCAGCATTCTAAAGGAAAAGAATTTCTAAAACGTTTATTGATCTAAATAATTGGATTTTATAATAATGGTCATGATCATGATCATGATAATAACAATAATAACAAATCAAATGGGGGATTATATGTACTGATGATACATGTTCTTCAATCCTATTGAGGATGTAGTTCAGACCAAGAAACATGTACATTTCTACTTATGCAGGACAGAATAGAGATATACTCATCATGCAACTTAGTTTTATTCTCTTGACAGCCATTTGGAAAGATCCCCGCATTAGAAGATGGGAATATTACTCTCTTTGGTGAGTTATAATCAGCTAACTGTTCAACATAAACACAAAGTCTAACTAGATTATGTAGGAAAAAGAGATCTAGAGTGCAATTAATTCTCACGCGTATCTTCATGTATTAGCAGAATCAAGAGCGATCAACCGCTACTTGGCACGTAAACACCAAGACATAGGTACTGACCTCATGAGGCACAACGACTTCACAGATTTGACTATCGTTGAGACTTGGATGGAAGTGGAAGCTCACCAGTTCGATTCTCCAGTTCGGGCCATCGTTGGCCAAATGATAGTCAACCCGATTCATGGAATAGCTCCCGATGAGAAAATAATTCAATCAGAGACCGAGAAGCTGCAGAATGTCCTCGATGTTTACGAAGAGAGGCTGTCGAAAAGCAAGTACCTCGCAGGCGATAACTACACAATGGCCGACCTGAACCACATTCCATATTTGGTGTACTTCATGAGAACTCCTAAAGCCAATGTGATCAGCTCCCGTCCACATGTGAATGCGTGGTGGGCAGACATCTCTTCAAGACCAGCTGCGGTGAAAGTCGCTGAAGAGATGAATCTGTTTATAAGAAAGGTTCAAGAGCATAAGGGTGTTCTTGTACCTTGATGTGTGTTTCTACTAGTACTGTTAATAAATTGATCTTAGCGAAGAGAGCAACAGGGACAATGATCTTTAATAATTACACAAATTATGAGATTGTTCGATTTGCACTGTCACGTCCCGATTTTTTGGGCCTGGGAAGCCGCGGGTAAGTGGTAATGGATTGGGCGAGTGATACGACCTGAGGGTCGGTAATGGGATGGACGGTATGGTCGGAATGTGTGTACTGAGGGTTGGTCATGATTCAATCGAAAGATTGTTCATGATTTGGCCTAGGGATCGACAGTGGAATGACTCTTCGATCGTGCGCGTCGATTAGAGTGACATGGCTATGGAAAGACCCTTCGACCATAAGGGCCGTTAGTGAGACGGTCCGGGGCAATCATGGATCAATGCCGTGTCGGCATGTGTTGGTCGTGGGTGATACCGCACGACCATGTTTCGGTCACAGGTGACCATGAGTTGATCTCGGGGTACCGGACTTCGTAAGGCTACATGACAACCGAGGGTCGACCATGAGTCGTTGATACTCGAACGTGGACCGGTAGAGAATCGACCACGGATCGTTGCGTTAAGTCGGGTAGGCCATGGATAGGCCATGTGCCAGGCCACGAGCCTAATGGCTAGGCCGCGGACCGGCCATTGTGCCAGCCGCGCCGGCTAGGCCGTGTGCCCGGACATGACCGGCCCTTGTGCTAGTCAGCTAGGCCACGGACCGGTTACGTGCTCGGCCGTGTGCCGGCCATTGTGCCTGACCTTTGTGCCAAGTGTTGTGCCCGTAAGATCCGACTCCGACCAAGTCCCGTGCCCAAGAAACTTGGCCATGAATCGTGCCTTGTGCCAATCCATGAGCCGCGGCATGTGTTAAGCCCATGACCCGACTCCTCGCTCGTGTGGCCCATTGTGATGCTTGGCATGTTGCCCATGTAGCCGGCGTAGTGCTCGGCCCCTTGCTCGTGCGGCACGGCATGGTGCCCGGCGCATCGCTCGTGCAGCTCGGCATCACGCTCGTGCAGCCTGGCATCGTGCCCAGCGCGGCGCTCGTGCGGCCCGGCGCGGCGCCCGTACGCCCGGCCATGTGCCTGGCCATGTGCCCGTGTGGCCTGGTAGCGTGCTAGGCCATGCGCCCGGTCAGACCAAGCCACACGCCGGGTTAGCCGGTTGGCTTGAGCTTATCCCATTCAACTTGAATCTTGTCTTGGTTATGTTTGGTGATATTTGAGGACGTTCTCGCGCCGAACCTCGAATTGAATGGGATTATTATACTTATTTTATCACGGAAAACCCTCAGAAAATAGAGGAAACAAGTATGACGCGGGGTTGCGATTTTGGCATCGATTAGTCAGTTTTGTCTACCCCGGTTGACCCGAGTTAATTGTAGGTAGAACCAGTATTTTCTGAGAAGTTAGCTAGGCTTTACGGTTTGGAAAATTGTAGAATGAACTAGAAGATAAGGTTGGACCAAGTCAAATCTTCTTCTCCAAGCCATATTAATTAGCTTGGACTTTGAGGCCTCCCATTATGATGATATGCAATAAATGAACGAAGACTTTGAGGCCTTCTTCATCATGACTTGCATTAATTAGTTGGACTTTGGAGGCACCACCATCATGACATGCATTAATGGCCTAGAGTGATGACCAAGAAAGGTCTTCTATAAATAGGGAGAAAGAGAGAGAGAGAGAGAGAGAGAGAGAGAGAGAGAGAGAGAGAGAGCCTCATGTGAAGCCCTCCCCTCTCTCTCACGCCATTCTCACGCCACTCTCTCCTCACACACTTGGCCACCCTTCTTTCTTGCTTCATTGCTTCTTGTTCATATCGAGAAAGAGAAAAAGAGAGAGAGAGCTCACCGACTAGCCCGTGTCCCTCCTTGTTGTTTGGTCAATAGGAAGCCACATCCAAGGCCCGTGTGTTTGTTTTCAAGCCGAGATTCGCCAAGACTCCCGTGTTCCGTTCTTGCTCTAGTTTTATTTCATAGAGTAAGTGAATTCCCTAATACCGGGAAAGGATGTTGAGATGCGTTGTGATGTGGTTTGCTTGGACCGTTTCTTGGTCGTTTGGTTGATCGTAGTTGGTTCATTTCCTTGGTTTGATCATGTTTCCTATTTGATGTTGTTTTGAGATAGAACCAAGCCTTGGTTGGTAAAGTGTACATGATGTAGCCATGCTTGATGTTCTCTTATGAACTTTGCTATTGATCTGCCATTGATGCGGGGGCGGTAAGGGCCGACTTATGTTAACGGCGATCGATATATCCTCGCTTGATATTAGAGTTTTCACTTGCTGAGTCTCCCCGACTCATCCCCCGTTATCTCCCTTTTTCAGGTCTGTAGGATGGCATCTCCCCCAGCCCGCGTTGGCAATCCCGTGGAGATGAGAGCCGAAGTGCTCACTGTGATAGATGTTAGAAAAGACCATGCCTACCGCCGAATCACGATGCTTGTGATGTTCGATGAGGGCCTAACGGACTTGGTGCCTCATCCGTACGTGGCGTGGTATCACTACGCGAACGGAGAATGGGTTGATCCCTATGTGGGTTCAACGGTACTTTGGCGGTGCGGGCGGGCCGGCTCCGGGACAAGGCCACGGGTGGGATGTGAGATGGCCAGGTGGAGGAGACCGAGGTGGAGATGAAGAAGCGAGGAGCGAGAAGTCATAGTGGGTATATGATAACCCAAGTTAAGTTTTGCTATCCTTAGTTGGCCTGTATTTAATATGTTCGCATGCGTTGTAAATATAAGGTTTGCTCATAATGCTTCTTGTCTTATTTTCGCTGTGTGTATTGATTATGATTGTCCCGAGATATGCTTCCGCTTGTGTGTAACGAAAAATAATAATGAACGGGACGTCACATGAATAATCCCGAGGTGGGGGTGTTACATGCACTATCCTCTTTTAATTAAGGCATAACGTTATTGGATTTGTCAAATGACAACTGCATGACCACATTCCTCTATTGCCCTTCATTGTAATTGGAAATGTGTACTGAAATTATGTCATTCTATTATCTGTGATGCATTTAAAAAAAGATTGATGTATAAGACCAATTGTTCCAAAATATTGAATCGTAATTTAGTACTCTGACAATTTCACAAATATTTGAGTGGTTTTATTTGAGATGGTGGTCATTACAACTTTGTTACTATTTGTACAGTCACCAGAATTGTGCTTGAAGGTTAATTTATTGAATTGTTTTAATACCATTAAAAATCCCAAACTAGTACTCTAACTAATTTTTTCCTCATAAAATATCTCAATTCGATACCCTTGATCCAAATCTATCCTCTTTTAACATTTTGTCTAATATCCCAATAAATGTGTACTTGTCAACACACGTGGCTGGATTTTCCACGTCGGATCCATCTTGCAGTTGTTTACCACACAGGTTGACACGTGCGCATTTTAATAGGATATTAGTGAAATGCTAACTATAGATAGATTTGGGTCGGTAATACCAGCTTGAGATTTTTTGTGAAACAAAACTTTAGTTTAGAGTAATTGTGTCATAATGCTAGTGTGAGATTTTTTATGATAATATTCCTATTGAATCTTAGGACAAAATGCATCGTGCATAACCATCAACAATTTCTTCAACCTATTTCAGCGCAGCTTGCTTCGATAGCCAATGTGATCACCTCTCGTCCACATAATTGCTCTTGGGTCACTAGTGAAGACGAGGCGGTGGCGCCACTCTTACCACCGTCAAATAACCCCGACACCTCTCTCATCTATTTTATTAAATTTTTAGCTTTTTTCTTTCTCTTTAAAAAAAAAAACACATCCTTTATTCCTCATTAGACATCATGTGATACAAAAAATATTTAACAAGGTCATATAGGTATTTTCCATTACAAAAATTGGACGGAACTAACGAAAGTTTTCATTGTAATTTTTAAAAATTTTAAAACTTGATTGCAATGTTTCAAAGTTTTAGAAATTGGTTATCTTTTTTGGATAATTTTTAGTATTTTTTTTATATACTTTTATCTTTTCTATAGCAAAGTTGATGGGACATGAAATAAAAAAACAATTAAGATGGATTTTATCATGCCTTAATCATAGTTGGCTTCTGAAGTGACTTAAAAAATGAATGGACTACCCAGAGTAAAGAATAGTTATCGCCATCAACATGATGACAACTTCGGCATTGTTTTCAATTATTAATCCCCCTAGGAAATTTCGTGAAGATTCTACAAGGTTGAGCTGGAATGTGGGTAACAGAATTGGTTTCATCATCAACCAAGAAAAGGGGGCAAAAATCGGTTTAGGGGAGAGAAGAGATTGGGTTGGTTTGCACAGAGAGGAAAAATCTTTGGCTCTATCTTGATCCATCTATCGCGACCTCCCGATCCGGTCTCATCATTTAGGAGGTTCGGCTAATGGATTACTAAGTTTAAAACTAACTCGGGCCTTCCGAAGTCCATATTAAGTTTTGACTTAAGTTCAAGTTCTTAACATGTAAATCAATTTCATATAGGAGTCATTACTAATTAATTTTTGGTGAGTCAATTAGATACCCAAGTAAAGTGTGGGAGAATTTATTTATTTCTACGAACTAGAGATTCAATGAGTTCGGGGACTTGGTTACATTAATTAATCAACTAATGTCCTTTTGGTACCTAACATTATTCAATCATCAACAAATTGTTCAAGTAGCCTAAGGTTCTATTCCTAACCAAGCTAAAAGGAAACAAAAATCAATATATCGAGAGTGCGCAATCAAGTAATAATCAAAATGGAAATGCGCAAACAACGGCCTAGCTTTTGTCTCTAAGAACATTCAACAGTCTATTGTAAAGCCCTAAGAGCTTGTCCTGTTTGAGCAAAATTTTGTTATCAAAGATTTTTCACATATTTTGAAAGAAAACTACTCAAAACCCAATTTCAAAGCTTTTTCTTAATTTTTAGAAAAAATAAAAATTTCGGAATCTTTTTTTATTATTTTTACTCTTTATTTTTTAAAAATATATTTTTAAATATTTTTAAAAAGAATTAATTTTTTAATC